ATGTATGGGAGCATGGGTCAATGCATTGCTGTAGTGAAGCAGTGTCCCTTTCATTTTAAATGGATTTCCCATCTTTACATTAACAGCATTTGTTGTTCGATGTGTCATACTATCTTGTACCACTGTGAATGGTCCTTTCTCTCCCTTGAAAAGTCAACTGCTCCAAGTGAGTAGGTAGGACGATCTCGGATATATTGTAATTGTGTTCTATACCCTGATACGTAAGCCAGCTTGCGAGACCATGGCTTGGTTTATGCTGTAGCCTTAGATGATCAAAGCTAATCAGTGGATGTGTTAAGGGTAGGCTAACAGTCAGGCATTCAACAACCTAGTCGGTTTCTTGCCAAAGGAGTAGGCGAAAGAAGTGGAGCACATGCAGCTAGTTGTTGTCTGGCTAATGTTTGTTACCTCATGCAACGCAAGTTCGTCCAGCGGCTCCCACGCCCCTCTCAGTTGTTTGACTATTGACTGTAGAACGCAGTACTGATGTATTCGTACCAAATGTTGTCGAAAAATACCACTGCGTATTTCCTCATAATTGAAAGTGAGGTAAGATTATGAAAGTGGGGCATCCATTTCTTGAAAAATCATCATCCGAAATCCTGTTTAAAAATCCTTAATAAATAGTGGTTTCTGCTGCCGTTTCCTATCCTAAACGCTGTACAATTAAGTTTACGGAAAACCTTGCTGGCAAAGGCGCCGAGTTGGCCCCTGTTGGGATTGCGTCCAAGCCCCTTCCACATCGGGTTCGACCAGCGGTTGTTAAAACTCCATAGTATTAGGGTCCAAAGGGGCAAAAAGCGAGCTAACAAAAACATCTTGAATCACTTGGTGCATTTGAATCTGTGCTTCGCGGCGAACTTTGTTTTGGCGAATCGTATTGACTATGGCAGTAATCATCCAGTCGTTTGAAAGGCATTTTCATTCCCCTGCATTGTTAAAACCTTACTTTATATCAAAGGTTCCTGCCGATCGATTAAATCTTTTTTATCACATTTTCACAACCCTCCATGAAGTACCAATCATGAACTGTGTTGTGAACATTGATAATTTTGACTTGGAAAGCAATGCGTTCGGCTTCGAAGCCTTGATAACGATCGCTCCATTCACTGATGGTGTTAGTTAAATTGACACTGTTCTTTCTCTTATGCTTTCAAGAATCTGTCTCCATCGGCATGAAGATGTCCAAGTATCCTCATCCTCAAACCTACCTCTTCACCGCCACACTGAACAAGGATGTGAGGAGTTTGCGTCGCGTAGCGCTTCGCAAGGATTCTGTCATTTGCACTCCCACTACTGCTGCTCATATGCTCTCCAAATCTCAACCCTTCGTTAGTGTTGACTTACCAGCTGGTTTGAGTCACTACTGCTTGCCTACTCGTAGAGTTGACAAATTGGCGTGTCTCGAGTGGTTACTGGAGAAGACGGGCGATGTCCGGACACTCGTGTTCTGTGCTCGCTGTCATGAGACGCGCTATTTGGCGGGTTTTTTGGTAGAGCGGGGCTATAAGGCGGTGGGATTGATGGGTAAAATGAAACAGCTGGAAAGGCGCCGTGTACTTGCTGAATTTGTGGAGGGAAAGGCGAATATTTTAGTCGCAACGGACGTGGCCAGTCGGTGAGTTTTTTTACACAAGTGGCGATCGCTATTGGCAAGTTGTCAGTAGTTCAGCTTGGATGAACTTTTGGATTAAACTGTCACATTTTTTCCCATCAAACTTGACCGTTGCCACGTTTTTTCTGCATGGATCTAGGGTTTTAATTCTTTTTGTCATTTCACCAACAGTGGTCTAGACTTGCCTCTAGTGGGTCTGGTGATTAATTACGGCGTTCCTCTCACCACTAAGTCCTACCGTCACCGCGTTGGCCGCACAGCCAGAGCTGGTCGATCTGGCACTGCGGTTACTATTGTAACTCGTGATGAAGGCAAGGCCTACCTCGATCTTGAATCTGCTCTCCTCCCCACGAAGCCGAAAGAATCGCGGCGTTGTATTCCACGTTGGCCTCATCAACTTCCTCCAGAAGAAGGGAAACAATCAGATGGTGAAATTGGAATGGAGAAACGGAGACGCCTAGCCGACGAAGCGTGGTCAAGAGCTGCAAAAGTGACTTTGGTTCTTATCAATAATTGCGTGCTCGTGTGGTTTTAGTAAGGCGTACCTTCATGCCCATATTTTAGGCAATTCGTGAGGCTGAGTCCCTTCGACTGATAGAGGAGGAGAGAAAAAGAGGCGATTATTCCACTTTTTCATCCTCCGAAGATGAAAATGCCTTTGATGACTTTGATACCATGGATGAGGTAGAACTGGGCAACCAATCTTGGGCTAGCGGGGCAGCAGGAATAGCGGCGTATGCGGAGGCGATGCGTCGAAGGAAACAGCAACGTCGAAACAAACGGGCCACGGTGATGGATGGCAAGGAGGCGGAGGAGGAGGACGCGGCAGAGGCCATAAGTGGCGATGATAGCGAGGTGGATGAGGAGAAAGGAAATCTGCATTTCGATCAGCCGATCAAGGAGAATTGGGCTGCGAGGAGAAAAAAGAATAATCAGGCAAAGAAGCCACGAACGCGTTGACTTGCAGCTGTGCCTCCATTTTGTCATGTATGTGTGCATAGATGTGAAAACAAGAGCAACTCCATGGTGTTACCTCCGTTTCCCTACCTTTCTGACTTGAATACTTGAATTTGGTTGTGTATTTAATAGCTCTACTGTCACCGATCTCGGTTTAAAGTTAGGTGAAATTAATGCATCTGAGATCTCAGATAATTCTCCGTTGTTTTACCAGTTGATTCTCGCCTTTTGTGATTCCACCTGTAATCAAATGGTGGCAAAACCAGTTTGGTTCCATCGACCTTGTCCGGGAAAGGTTCGTTAAGGCAGGATTTCACAGTGAAGGTTGCAATATCAGGCATGAAGGGGAGGGGGTAATGCCTCTCTCTTTCCCCATCCAAACAAACATAAAATGTCTCCTC